CAATCTCTACTCTTTCTTGTGCTCTTAATGATTTCTCCATAGATTTTAAAATACTACATAAATCAATTCCAGTTTTCATCAAGGTTCACATGGTCATTTCAGAATGCCAGCAATTTATTTTTAATGAGTGTCAAGCACCTTCAAGCTCCACAGGAAACTTTTATATTATCAAGTATATCACAGTCTCAAAACACCAAAAATAGCATTTACTAATTACTATAGCACCTGAATCATTTTGTAAAACTTACTCACCCATATTTAATGTAGTAAACTTTTTGCATTTACAATAGTTTCTGTTTTTTTTTCTTTTAGGTACAAGCATAGTTAAATAAAGTACTTTGAGTAAAGGAAATTAAACAGTCCCTTACCAATTTCTGGCTTCTGCTTTTTTGTTAATAAAAACACAGCTCATTCTTTTATAGTATCAAAGTACTTAGCCTAAAATCTTTATTTTTAAAAGTTTTTATTTTAGCAAATTTTCCTTATATTGAAAAGAATTATCTACTTAGTATCCCTACTTCTGTTATTAGTAATCTAGAATTATGGGAATATTCTCCTGTTTTCTTATCATATTTTCTAACTGATTCTTTTTTAATCACTCATTTGTCTTTGTAATAAACTTATTATATTGTTCCTTATCATATGACATCAATGAAAAACCTCTCTCAAAATGTTTCAAGTATTTCACCTTTCAGTAGGAATTGCTTATGACCTTGACTTTCTTCTTTCACTATTGTTATAAAAAAGAAATGACTTTCTTCTGTCACTATTTTTATAAAACTGAGCATACAGACAGAAACCTGAAGGCAATCTTGTGTGTATAAAAACTTACCTGTTAAAATTACAATGCATGAAAGTGCAGCCCAATTTCAAACTCAGTCTCTTTTCTTTAATATTCTGTAGCTCATATCATCCTTATTTTGATCGGCCCATATGGTAATCTCTTTAAGTCATCGTGTTACTAGTCATTCTTTTTTTCTTATAAAAGTTTTGTACTTTAAAAATTTTTTTATTGATTTCTGTTTATATGCACCACATGTGTGTAGGTATCAGTGGAAACTAAAGGGTGTCAGACATCATCAATCTTGAGTTAGAAGTGATTGTTAGCCATCTGATGCAGTTGATAACCAAATTCAGAAACTCTGAAAAGCAATAAGTGTTCTTAACCACTGAACCATCTCTACAGCACCCTAATTAATCTATAAACAGAAATATATTTTAAAACTTTCACGTTCATTAAATTTACTTCAGCAATTTAGTAATACTCTTTTACACTGAAATCATGAATTCCAAATTTGATATAATTAAAGATGAAATTTTCCTACTGGCATTTCTTTTTAACATTGCAAAACACCTTGCAAAGGTGGACTGTATTAAACATATACATTCACACACACTCACTAATTAATTATAGGCATTTTCTGTTATTATTAGTCACTTAATTAAAAGCAAATTAACCCTAATACTTTCAACAGAAAAGGTGTAACAACCATTGACAGGTTTTTGGATGGAAATTGGGTGTGATTTTCAGGTACATAAAGTTCATTGACTCAATTCTGATTTGCTGACAAATAGCACATTTTTAAAATAAATATATCACAAATACTACACAAGCCTACTTACACAAAATTTAACTTAAATAAAATGTGTGTTGTAGCTGGAAGTTTTCCTCTGGTCTTGCACAGCCCCACAGTCCACAGCTGATTATAAAGTAATCACTCAGAAGCTTATATTAATTATAACTGTTTGGCCATTAGCTCAGGCTAACTACTGACAAGCTATTACACTTAAAGTCAGCCCATTTCTGTTAATCTATATGTTGCCATGTGTTTGCTGCTCCCTTGATGGCAGGCTGGTATCTCCTCCTCAGTTTTGTTTTTCCTTCCCAGAATTCTCCTTGTCTGTTTAACCTGCCTATACTTCCTGCCTGGCTACTGGTCAATCAGCGTTTTATTTATCAACCAATCAGAGCAACACATTCACAGCATGCAGAGCGATGTCACCGATCAGTGTGTATACAGGAACACACAGACGTAGGATATATATCCTGTGTGTGTGTGTGTGTGTGTGTGTGTGTGTGTGTGTGTGTGTGAATACATATTTTTATATACGCATGCAAATACACATATAGATTGGCATTCTTTTGATTTATGACAGGGTTATATACTAACAAATTGTTTACAATTTCAAAGTATCAGAAGCAGAAAAAGGTTCAATTACAATGAACTTACCAATCATCATAGATGTGGAATGATTACCAAATGTGAGTGTTTCCTTCTTTTTATGTCTGGAAAGAATTGTCCTCTCTGAATCTTATTGTCAATATCTACTGATTTATTGATGAGCACTTAGATTGATTGCAGATATTTCTCTAGCAAACATATGTAATTTTTACTACAACCTTCCATTTCTATCTCTATATGTCTCTAGAATCAGGAGTCTTAGAATACACTGTTTTATTTTAAATTTGAAAAAAATTCTATAGATTTCACAATGCCGATTTATATTTTTCCAAAATTAAAAAAATGACAGTTTTCAATAAATAAAGTCTAATTTTTTTTTTTTTGAGACAGGGTTTCTCTGTGTAGCTTTGCGCCTTTTCCTGGAACTCACTTGGTAGCCCAGGCTGGCCTTGAACTCACAGAGATCCGCCTGGTTCTGCCTCCTGAGTGCTGGGATTAAAGGCGTGGGCCACCACCGCATGGTTTCTCTTCAGATCATATAAATCTTTCGCCTTTTACTAAAGTCTAAAAATTAGAAAACAATTTTTAAAGCATCTTTTATTCAGATTATAATATCTTAGTTTTTCATTTTTCTGATGGTTGTTATTTTTTGGAAAATGAAGAATTAAATTCTATTAATTGATAATTGAGTTTAATAATGATTTTAGTTAATGAAAATCACTTGAATTAGTTTTGTGAAAAGAAGAGAGTAGAAACAAAAGGTAAAACAAAATGAGAAAATGATGGCATAACCTAGGAAAGTAACTGTTTTGAAGAAAAACAGTTTAAGTTTGATAGATCTCCTTTTATATACAGTCCACATTGGATTGTTAAAATACAGTACAATATTGTTGGTCACCAAGCTGTAAGTAGTGAATGCCAACAAAGGAAAACTGGTTATTTAGTTATTCCTCACAAGGAATCCTGCAAATTTCCATGACAATTACTTCTCTGTTTTATAAAGTGTTGGAGTTATACTGTATATCGTTACTGTCTTCTTTCTTCTAGAAACCCCAATTTGGGGGAAAACCCTTCTATTAACTCAGAATTACTCTAAAAAAGAGGTTACAATAAAACTGATTAGACAAACTTCTTTTTCAGTTATACTATGTCTGATAAAATCCAGTTGTTCTAATTGGATTTAGGTTTCTCAAGACTCAGAAATATGCTTACAAAAGTTTTCTTAAAGTAGATTTACATACAGACCTAATGCCTCCCTGTGTGCTAATGGTTATTGTTTTCAAATAATAATTGTTTTCAAAGAGTGATTTTCTAGTGGTGCTTCTCTCATTCTCCTTCCAGAATAATTTTCCATGATCCTTAGTAGATTAAAGACACTAACAAAAATCTGTGATTTGGCCATGCAGTTGTTTCTGTTAATAGCTCTTCTTAGTGTCTGGAAACAAAAGTGAGTGAGACACTTATTGACTCATAAATTTCTGCTTTCTGAATGTTTTGTGGTGAACTGTGCATTCTGTAATAGATGAGTCAAAAACTAAAGACGAGTCAACTAAAGATTGTGTGTGCTGTGCTTATATTAGGACTTCCAGTTTATTGTTTTTATGGGATTCATAAGTTTATGAACAAGTAGGTCTCTGACTTTTTTGCCTCTCTTGGGCTCTTATCCTTCTTTTGATCCATATTGTTCATCTTTGTTGTTATAGCTTTGTTTTATTATATTTTATTTTGTTATTTAAAAAAATATGAATGAGTGAACAAATGAATGAGTGAATGAATGAATAAAAACCTAGCCACTAGGGTAAAGGTTAACAACTGAACTGTCACTTATACATGCTATGAGATCAAAAGTCAGTTTTTGTCCAATGAAGTGATTCAATGAAGGTATATCAACCACTGTAGGCCATGCATCATGTTCAGGCGTAGTTACCTAACATATAACGGCATTGTCAGTATTTTCCTATGATTTTATTTGGTCATAGTTTTGGTTTTTGTTTTGTTTTGTTTGTTTGTTTGCTTGGTTATAGTTTTCTTTTTGGGTGTTGTTTTCTTGTTGTATTACGTTTTTGTTTGTTTTTTGAGAAGGAATTTAAAGTTGAGTGGTGTGATGGTTTGAATCAGTATAGCCCGTATAGCCTCCTGTGTTTGCATGCTTGACCTGCAGAAACTGGCATTATTAGGAGGTTATGACCTTATTAGAGTAGGTGTTGCCTTGTTGGAGGAAGTGTATCACTATGTGGGTGAGCTTTGAGGTCATATATGCTCAAGCCATGTCCAGTGAGTTAATTTCACAGCAATAGAAACACTCACTAAGATGGGTGACTAGGTAGGGGGAGAGGATCTGGGAGGACTTGGGGAGGGAAAGAATATGTTTAAAATATATTTAAAGTTAAAATTATTTTAAATAATAAAAATATAATAAAAAGAAAAAATATTTTGTTATGTCATTCTGTGTTTTTTTTCACAAATTCAAATAAAATAATGGTTTATTGTGTTATACAGATCATCATTTTTTAAATTTTCAGTGAAATTCATATCACCAATGCTTGAATGAAACATATAGATGGGATAGTGTAGCTGAAAGTTTTCCTGCATCCAGCCTGGTCTACAGCTGCTCAGGCTCAAATAAAAACACACAAGCCTATATTATTTTTAAACTATGGCCATGGCAGGCTTCTTGCTAGCTCAGTCTTATAGCTTAAATTAACCCATTTCTATAAATCTATACTTTGCCATGTGGCTTGTGGCTTACTGGTACTTTATATCTTGCTTCTTCTTCTGGCAGCTAGCAGCATCTCCTGTGATTTCCTTTTCTTTCTTCTTCTCTCTCAATTCGGCAGCACATATACTAAAATTACAATGATACAGAGAAGATTAGCATGGCCCTTGCACAAGGATGACATGCAAATTCATGAAGCATTCCATATTTTTATTGTACTTATTGTATGCAGTTTTTCTTATATTAGTTATAACTTTTTAAATTTTTAATTCTTTATTAGACAAAAAAGGGGGAATGTGGTATTTTATTTGTGCTGAAATGTGGTGATATTTTATTTGTGCTTTAATAAATAAAGCTTGCCTGGAGATCAGAGGAAAAAGGCAGCCATTATAAGTAAATAAAGAAGTCAAGCAACAGTAGCACACACCCTTAATCCTATCACTTAGTAGGCAGAATCTCTGTGTGTTGAAGGCCACACTGGAAACAGAGCCAGGTATGGTGGCACATGCCTTAATTCCAACACTAGCTAACCGTGAATGTCTAGACAGACAGAAAGTGATAGAGCTATGTAGGAAGAGGAAGTGATGTAGCTGGACAGAGAGCAAATCAGATGGCAGAACTGCAAGGCATATATAGGCGTGGGTAGACAGGAAGTAGCTCGCATTTGGAAGCTGCCGAGTTGGTGAGGTAAGGTTGCATGGTGGCTTTCCCTATTTCCCTCTCTCTAAGGCTTTCACCCCTATATTTGGCTCCATGTTTTTAATTTAATAAGACCATTTAGAAATTAATCTACAAGATAGTTATAATCACTCTGTAGACTGAGAACATGTATTGAAACATTATAGGGTATATTATAATATATATATATTTGTAGGGCCCTGGCCTCCCATTTTGGGTAGCTGCAGCCTTGCTTGCTGACCTTGACCAGATGTCCTCCCTATGCTGACTCCCTGCCGGTTTCCTTCTTCCTGAAGGCTCACTAGAGGTTCTTTGTTTGTGTATCCTGCATTTGGTGTAAACAGCTTAGATGCAAGATTGTAAACATCAGTAACAAACTTCTTCCCTCTGGGGTTCTCACATTGTGCTGTAAGCCTGTATTTAAGATTTCCTCCCTCTTTCAATAAACAGCATTTGGCATTCTGCTGAGGCGAATGACCCGCTGTCTTTTGTCTCTGTTTTTTGATCCACAGCCCCTCGCTCGGACATGGTGAAAGGGTGGTGGTAGCATGGGCGTTATCGCTACATATGTTATTGATTAAATTAAAAATATAGAGCATCAGAAAACAATAGACAATATTCAACAGGGACTGCTAGACTCTCTGAGAAATAAACTGCAGTGTTGGAGAGCAGCTTCATATGAGTTGGGTAGCCATGAAAAATAATAGTTTCACTAGCAAAGAAATAAAGGAAACTCATTTAGTTAGCTGAGCAGGAGTGCTCAAAGTCCATTCCTGGGAGCTCACTCCTAAAGCAGAGCGAGTGCAACTGCAAGAATTTAGCATCTTAGCCTAAGAAAACTATGAGGAAATGTGCATTTCAGTAGTAGACAACTTAGAGGGAGGAAAAGAGGTGGGGTTCTGATGGTTTGACTGAGAATGGCTTCCATAGACTCAGAGATTCGGATGCTTGGACAGTAGGGAGTGTGGCTACTTGAGAGGATTAGGAGATGTGCCCTTGTTGGAGGAAGCTTGTCATTCAGGGAGAGCTTTAAGGTTTTTAAAAGTCTAAGCCAGGCCTCTCTTCCTCCTGCCTGCATTATCTGGATGTAGAACTCTCAGCTACTTCTCTAGTACTATGTCTGCCTGCATGTTGCTGTGCTCTCTGCTATGATGATAATGGATTAAACATCTGGGAACATAAACAAGACCCAAATTTAATTCTTTCTGTTTTAAGAGTTGTCAGGGTCATGGTGTCTTTTCTCAACAACAGAACCCTGCTGAAGACAGGAAGGTAGGTGGCAACTATGTGCACCTACAGAGGTAGCAGTGGAGTCCAAAGGTGGGGGGAACAGAGATTCCAAAATACAATCAAGACTGCAAGCATCACTGAGAAGATTTTTAAATCCAACCCTACAGGAACCTTAAGTATATCGAACCAGATGACACAGGTCCTGGGGAAATTATCCTAACATTTTACTGTACCAACTGAGAGAAGCGAAGCAATTTACAAATGATGCCTGATGAGTTGGCAGCTAGAAGCCTATAAAGTAAAAGGTCTCCCCAGCATGCTTTAAGAACATAGGCAATAGCCAGAGGACTGTTCTCAGAGTACTGGTATTCAGATTGTCTCCAGCTAATCAGTGAGGGGAGGGGAAAAGTTCAAGTCATAACCGTAGTACAACAAATGTGTACATTGTCTGAGTAAGATTTGGTTGATTGTCTTAACTGAGATAGTTTCTGTGTGCACCACTCCCTAGCTGGGATTTTAGATAATATAATTCAGTGGTTCTCAACCTGTGGGTTGTAACTCTTTTGTGGATGAATGATCCTTTCATGGGAGTCACATATCAGTTATCTTGAGCATCATATATTTACATTATGATCCATAACCATTGCAAAATGTTATGAAAACAAAATAATTTTATGTTTGGATTAAAGGGTCACAGCATTATGAAGGTTGAGAACCACTGACATAAGAAGTGATCTATGACACAGCAGGCTTGTATAGCTTTCTACTTCCTATGTGTAGATACAACGTGACCATGTGACCAGCCAGCCTCCTTATGTAGACAAATTGCTAAACGGTCTTATTAATAGAAAACACGGAGCAAGATATAGGGGTGAAAGCCTTAGAGAGATCAGAGGAATAGGAACAGCCACATGCTAACCTCACCTCACCAAGTCCACAGCTTCCAAAAATGAGATGCTTCCTGTGTACCCACGCCTGTATGCCCTGCTGTTCTGCCATCTGATTCGCTCTCTGTCCAGCTACATCACTTCTTCTTCCTGCCCAGCTCTGTCACTTTCTGTCTGTCTATACAGACCTCCAACCACCCATGGTTAACTAGTGTTGGAATTTAAGGCATGTGCCACCATGCCTGGCTCTGTTCCCAGTGTGGCCTTGAACTCACATAAATCCAGACAGATCCCTGCTCCCAAGTGATAGGATTAAAGACATGTGTTAACATTGTATGAATTTTGTGTTTACTTATAATGGCTGGTTTTTTCCTCTGATCTCTAGGCAAGCTTTATTTATTAGAGCACAAATAAAATATCACCACATTTCCCCTATTTTTATCTAATAAAAATAAAAAGTTATAACTAATATAAGAAAAACTATATACAATAAGTACAATAACTATATATAATATATTCAAGCAATAAATACATCAACAATGTCTAGTCCATTTGCATTTGACAAATTCAGCAAAAATATTCCTTTATCTATCCTATTTTGGTGAGTCCAAAATGTACCTAATTCACTTTCCATTCTAACTTATATTACCAACATAAAACTGTCTTATGATGTCTTTCAATCTTACACACTCTTAGTGAGTTTCTTTTCTGAATTTCTTAACAAGGAAAATTGTTACTACAGCTATCTAATCTCTCAGAGACCCGAGGCAGAAATAACATTACCTAGTAAAACAGGAAGTACAAACAAGTGACTTCCAAAAAATGTGACATATGGCAAGAGCATCTTCCTAGTAAAATAAGAACTAACACAATGAAATGAAAATGGTACTGAAATTATAGTGTAAGGAAACATATAGATAAATATAGATAAAATAAAAAATATACAGGCAAAAAAGAAGAACAAGGAAAAGAAAAGTTCATCTAATAATGATAAAGATTTGTCAACAAAAGTAAATAAATATATGAAGGGTGATAAAAATAAATGCTAAAGATATTTGATACAATAAAGATACTATCAATGTATAGGAAAATGAAAAAGAGTAAGAATACAAGGAAGAAAGAAAAGAAAGGTTGGAGCAGATTCATGTTAATTGGGATAGCCATATATATTTATGCACACTGGCTTTTCTATATTTAGGCTAATATATTCCCATATTATACAAGAGTGAGGTGTCTATCAGACCTGTCATCATTTAACAGGCTTCCTATTTCCCTACCACAGCTTCCAAAGGTCACAGTGACTTTCATGTTAGGACCATGGGCTCTACAGTTTCTCCCACTATCTGCTCCCCTCTGGAGTATCCCCAGAAAGTGCCGATGGGCTACATAAGAGGGGTTCAGCTAGTGCCTTGGTTGTGGGGGAAACAAGAAGAACACAAACACCTGTATGAATGGAGGACCTACATTTGTCCTTCATGAACTCTCTAAACAGGTCACCTGGCAGGACTGCTTCAGAATGTGAATCAGCCCTCGGTCCTCAGGTTCAAGGCTATCAGATGCCACGGTTATCTGATTTGATGAGGTCTTCATCACTTCCTGTAGGAATTCCAGTGCTTTCTTTATGCCCTTTCCTGCCTAAACCAAGCTTCTCGCTGTCTGCACTCATCAATTCAGTATCTTCCCTCTATGAAACTGTTTCCAAGGGCTCTCACTCATCAAGAGGTGCAGCATTTTGCCTCATAGACTAGTCACTTTGTCACTGCTTCAGCTTTTCATGCCTGTAGTGTAGCTCATTTAAAAAAATAAAAAAGGTTCCTCCTCAAGATGGTATTGGCTCCTGACCTCCAAGTCAGAGAAGACAGTGATTAGAGTGGAATTCTTTCCCACTGTTGACACATGTCAAGGGACTCACTTCTCATCAAACCTTCAACTGTATTTAAAGCTTGTGAGGACTGTACACTTGTAAGGCTAGGACTACCACACTCCTTTCTCCATGGCTACCTGGCTTAACTTTTGGAAATGGCAATAACTTTCACTTGCCCAGCTGGGGAGCAGAACAGACTAGTTTGGCTTAGGTGTTCTTTGGTAGATTACTTGTTTTTTTATGTTACAGTTTTTGCTGTTTTGTCTCAATGTTTCCAAATTCCTGATCTCCCCCTCTTTTTCATTTTCATGTTTAATTTATTTTATCCTAATGACATGTTCTGTCATCAAAATCACACAGTAGTTGCATCTAGTGTACCACCTTACCCAGAAGTCCATTTATTCTTTTTATCATAATCAGAGAGATTTGAAATGTAAATTTTTATTTATTCTGCATATGTTCTACAAAAGTTTCCATACATGCATAACAAAAAGTAATTTAAAAGAAAATTTACTGAAATTATATGACACTTAATTCAGTGAGAGCTTACAGA